ATTTATATTTTTAAAAAAAAGACGGGGGGGGGGGGGGGAAACCACAGAAACAAACTTAAAATAGAAGCCACTATGAAGCAACACTGACAGTAATATTTTACTCTGTCTCCTAGTAAGCACTTTGTGGAATTGCTCAGTTAATGTGCAAGAGTACTCTTCATTAATAGCCTGTATCTAGCATCATTATTTTACAGGATCAAAAGGAAACTCTCTGCAATCTGACTGCAAAAATATTTTGTCACTATGAACCAAATCAACATGTGAATTTTTCAGAAACATAAGGAAGAACCTCACACAATTGGTTGCTATTTTATTGTCTTTTATTAGTTGTACATGCCACTACCCCGAAGAACTTGCATTCTCTTATAACACAAAGGAAAGAAAATACACAGTTAAGGAAAGAGAGTAAGGGAAGGAGGACCCGTGTTACGGCAACATCAAGCTGTTACGAAGTTCTGGCACATGCACTTTCTGCAGTTTCAATGAACAAATAAAATTCTTTTTATGACACACAAGGAGTGAGATTCCAGGGAAGATTCAAATCGGTTAGTATAATTTGATGGACAGGGATTAGGAATTTGCTCCATGCATTGGGGGCTGTGCAAATAATTTCATAATTCTACCTTGGTACTCAGCGTGACTAATGCAACCTCTCTTACATCACCACATGGACAGTCTATACTCTCACCCTTCTTACTGAGAGAGACAAAGAGACACAGAGAGACAAAGAGAAAGAATGAAGAGAGAGAAAATGTTACTAACTCAAACCTCAGGTCTTTGAGTAAATATATAGGGCTGATTTCCTGGGGACCTAAGGTTACTAAGCAACGCTCTGTGCTAGTCAAGTTTGGGTTCAGCAGAGCATACCAAGCCATGGATCGTCGCTGTGAACATGGGGCTGACCTCCTCCCTGCCCTGGGCTGGCTGGAGCAACGCAGTGAGCTTTCAATGGCTCTGCACCCTGGCAGGTGTTTTTCCACAAAGTGTCTGATCTGCCCATGTGTAAATGGAAGTTGACTGTAGAAACCCCCTCATATCCCAAGTCATTTATTTCCTTCAGTTCCAGTATTCCCTTTTACTATTTAATCTGAAAGCACATTACTCTTAAAAACAGGAACAATTTAATGACCCTGCTTCAACTTTTGTTAAAAAAGAGACAATAAAAAAGTCAGACAAGTAAAAAACAATGAAGCACTATGATCCAGCCACCTTCTACTGTCAGAATGGATGGAAAAAGACATGAAAAAATTCTTATATCAATTTATGCTAGCATGTCTATTAAAGAGTAAAACATTTTCCATAAACAGATGGTCACAAATGATAAAGTTTCTGCAGTTTATCGAGTTATTGCTGCTCTTCACTAATAAATGTACACTTCTAACCAGCCTTAAATGTAATGTAAATCCTTCAACCCTAAAAGAAAGAAAACCATTTTAGGTTTAACTGAGGAGACTACACAATAGTTACTGTGGCTGTATTCCAGTGAGCTGTTAGAGTGATGAAGACATAATTTATAAACTTCTGTTCTTACCTGCAGAAGACCAAGGTACACAGAGGTGATAGTTAAAGGGATCATTAGGACTAACTAGACATACCTCCTGTACAAGGATAACAAAATTTCCCTTTGTAGTTCCTTCATCAATCCTCAATTTATAGCTGAGGTATAGAATAATTTTTAGATAAATCATTCCAATTCATAGTTCAGTTTCACTGCTAAATGTGTCTGAATCTATTTACCATTAAGCATTCAAACTTTATTAACCCTTTAAAGTTTGTCTCCTTACTGAAGTGATGTCTACTCAAAGGGGTCTTCTGTCCATGCACAACCCCAAATACTAGTTAATTTACAAACTAAGTCTTCCAAGATTTTGACTAAATTGATATAAGAAATACTAGAGTCCAGGCCCTAATTATCTAGGGCTACAAGAGACAGGATGAAAAGTAGACTGGAAATATTCAGAAAAGCATATGACATATATAGTGTTTTAATGTAAAGGGAAGCTGACAAGGAAAAATAGAGGTATTCACCACTCAATTTTACAATTAGCAGTTTAATATACATATAATTCCATAAATAGACTGCATGACATATATAGATTGAACTCCACTGATAAATATACTAGTAAGTATTACCCCTAGGCTTTTTCTAAATATGTCAATGAAAAGACTAGATATGCAAGACTTTGAAAAAATATACAAAGTATACTTCATTCTATATAAACATTTGTTTTCTGAAAATCTCAATAAAATCAGTTATAGGATATACAGAGAAAACATTTCATTTTATTGCTTCAGCCTCCTTAATAAGAGAAGGAGCTCTGGGTCTATAAAAGATGCTTCATGCAGCCAAACAAGCTGTTGATACTAATGACCAAAATAAATCCAGCTCTGTCTTGTTATTTAAAGTATATAAACATATCAACATTTGGGAAATTTTGTCAGTGAAAATTGAACTTCAGTCATTTAATTTAAAAACCAAACTCTCTCTATCAAGATTTAAGCAAATACTGAAGTCTACCTCTCCTGTTCTTGCTTCATTCGTATTCTCTCCTCTTCTGAAGTAAGAGCTTCCTGTACTTTTATTTTACCAGTTTTCTCACTCTTGTCATCTTTGCGATGTTTGCCAAACCTGTTAATAACACACAAAAAAAGATCTAACTTGTGAAATGAACAAAACTGTGTTTTCCTTTTCCTATGACAAAGAGAGTGTTCCAAGGAGGGCTGCTTGGAATCCAGGAAAGGAAAGCGCAACGACCTTAGAATGTCAATTTTTAGTATTTTCAGGCTCCTTTGTGGTTTTGTTTGCATAGGTTATTTTATTTTTAGTTCTTTCTTCTTAAAAAGTTTATAGAATTCCTCACTATAGAGAACAAAACAAACCAAAACAGAACCACATTCCTTTTTTTTTTTTTTCTGCCAGGATTTTGGGGTCACTACTCTTAAATACACAATAAAACAATGTTTTAGAAATTACTCAACACTGTTACTGCCAAAGAACGCAACTGAAGTTTACATTCAACAAAGGCTTTCACACATGAACTGCGAGAGACCCAGCACTGTATGTCTGACAACCGCCCAGAGCACAGCACCACCCCCACACCTGCCCCACCAGAGCAGTTTCACCACACCGTGGACACCATCCAAAACTGTAATTTTTTTCTCTTTCAGCACCAAGGTTTTTTTAAACTTTATTACTTGTGACTCTTTTCCCCAAGGCTGTTCCAGTGCAAGGAGGGTGAGTGGAGGGATGGAGCTGGCTGGGCTGTCCCAGAGAAAGCAGGATGCTGCCAACCAGTGTTTGCCCTCTTCACATCTGCTCTTCCCCTCTGCTGGCTACATTTCAAGTATTTTAGATTTCTTCCATATTTGCACATTCCACTGGTTTCTTTTAAACTTTCAGAGAAAGCACAGTTTGGCTTTTGAGAAACTCAGTTATTATTAGAACAAAACTGCATCTATTTCTTAGATATTTCAGACTAACTCTGAAAGGAATGACTTTTGTGCAGAGTGAAATAAACAAAGACTTAAATACAGCCCCTAAATATATGTGAATTTTAGATGACCATTTTCTATTTAAGGTAGAAGGGATAACACATACCTGTTAAAAAATACCTCGTTGTAATACATATCTATTAAACATGAGATCATTCATCGTGTCAAAAGCATCGAGAATTTTACTTTTTTTTCAAATCAAGCACTCAGATGAGAGCATACTGCCATTTGTGGCACTTCACACTTGGGTTCACATCAAAAGTGCAATGAAAGCACTGAAAGAAATGTGAAAAGTCCAGCAACGGTGTGGACAGGATGAATCGCATGCTCACAAACAGTGGAATAAAACACAGACTTCTTAAAACTTTCTTCTGACCCATGAATATAAACTGTTTAAATTATTTAGAGTCAACTAGGCATTGATAGTATTTTCCATTTTGTTCCTGTTGATTCTAGTACAAAGCCATTGTATGGACTGAAGATGCAGCACACAGTGACCCTGCAGAATGATTAATTTCTGGCCATTCAGTCAAGAGATATTATTATACTGCATAACCATGTTTACGGCTCTTAGTGCAGCTGCTTAAAAACACACCACAAAAATACAGCACAGGAGAACGTACACAAACTTTCAAGTGTGTGGCTGTTCTCCACAGATTCCAGATTGCTCATTTCCAAAGTAATGCAGGCATCTAAAAACTAAAATTGTTCATTAATAATCATCTGAAAAGGGAAAGGCAGACAATATGATAGGGTTAAGAAACACAAAACAGGAAAGTCTCTGATTTTATAACATGTTATATGTAAAACTGACATATTTAAACTCAGTGACTAGAAACACCAGTAAATATAATTTAAAACACCCACCTATTTATTAGTGAGTAGCCAAAACAATTATACAAAGCATTTACATATATGACACAAGAGATTCCAATCAAGTTCTGGATGTCATACACCAGACAAAAAAAGTACAGCTAATTTAAAATAGCCCTAAATCCTCTAGCCAAGACAGGAGTTTTGGCAGAACAGTGGAATCAAGCCATTTTATCCTGACACACAGAGAGTGCCAGGGGTGGCAGGGGTCTGACTGATGGAACACACAGAGCTGCAAGGAGATATGCAACATATGTGGTACTGTAGCACAGCATCTCTGGGATGCCTGCATTTGCTTCTGTCTCCTGCCCTTCCATGACCCATCCAAAATGTCAAGCAAATCAAAGGAACCAAATTTTGGAGTAGCCACTTTATTTTTGAAAATGAACTAGTGGTTAAAAAAAGAGAAGGAAAATGGAGAAAGTTGAATTAGTTAGTGTCCATTAGGTTTTGGCAGCAAAACAGAACTTCTACCACCATAAATCAGTTCATTGCAAGTATGAACAGAAATACATTGAAATCAATATCTTATTAAAAAAAAAAAAAAAGTACATAGGAAATCTCTAATAATCCCTGTAAGCAATCTAGTAAACATCTGGACAGGCTGCACGATTGTGAGGAGAGTACTTCTAAAGTTAATACATAGCGCAAACCTAGGAACAACCAACGGTTTGAGTTTCCAGATCCAACTGCCCAAGTCCAGAAGACACCATGCCCATGATGTGTCTCAACAGAAGCAGAGGTAGCTATACCACACAGGCAGCGCTCGGAGCAGCAGGAGGGTTCAGTTTGCTTTGATTCATGAGCAAGCTGTGGCAACAACCCTTCTTCTCTCTCAGGGTTTTCTTTTGAACATCTGGAAACAAACGTTCCTTCTGCCCTCAGGGACCATCCTGACAAAGTCTCCAGAAGACATCTCTGGTCCTTTCCCAAGCATTGCAAAGGTTGGCCATATTGTTCCCACTCTGGCTGGGGACTTTCCAGTGCCCATCTTGGACAAGCTCTGTGGTCATCCTGGCAGTGGACAGCGTGGCAGAGTATGAACCACGGTTGTCTTGCAAAGTTGCCTTCTCTGGACTTAGTCACCTGCAGAAGTGATAGATCTGCCAGAATCACCACTGCCTGTAACGAGGTCAGCAACATTAACTGCACTGTCCCTACACTCAAACTCAGAATCACCAACACCGTCCTCCCCCCTCCCTGATTGTGGCTTCATGTTTTAAACACCAGCACCTGCACAGATGGCGTTTCCATGACACTTACAAGTCATGGAACTGCAGAGCAGTTTGGAAACACACTGCCCTAAATGAGTCTGGCTCTGAACAAGCCTGCAGACTCTTATCAAGACCTCTGTGCAAAAATATTTACAAGTTCAAGATTTCTCTTCTGCACCAGGATTGCAAGTCTAACATCATCTCTTTTTAGCTTCAGCTTACAACAGTAGAAATACCAGACAAAGGAAAACCATTTTCCAGGCTCCACCAAGTGCTTGAGAAAGGTGTTTTAAAAGAACTGTGATGGGGATACATATGTACACACACATCCCCCTTTTATTTCTGTAGAAGCAGTCAACACTCCCCACTCCAAACATCATTCAAAGGCTTTGGTAAGATCACTCTTGCTAACAATGTGTGTGTTTGCTGTTTATTTCTATTGAAAGTGTTTACTCCATGAAGTACAATTTATAGTCATAATGAAACCCACAGCCCAAATCAGCATCCTCAGCACCAAATATAAATCAGTCATTTACAAATTATTTAACACTAATATTCAAGCCAAGTTTAACTGCAGGAGAGCAGCATCCAGCAGTACTAAGGCACACCATAAAAGCAAGTTGTTAACACTCTCTCAGCTGTACTGTGGTGACTACATCGCTATCAGCCACTCAAAACCACCAGTCCTCCTAATTTCCTCAGGCAGAGGTTTCCTACACTGATTCATGACTATTACGTAAAACAGGACACTTTAAAATAAAAATTATTTAGCTTTGAAGCTACTGAAATTCAAGAAGTCTAGGCAATATCCTTTCAAAACACCAAAAGCACAACCCACAGCCACCCTGCACTGTCCTCACAGCCTTTTCCTGCTGTTCTGCAGTGGCCCTTGTGGAGCTGTGCAAGTCCAAAGAAGCAAAGCGTGAGTCAGGTCCCTAGAATTACACCCAGTACTTAAAACACCCCAATTTGAAAGCATCATCCCAGTGAAAAGATCTGGGATACCTTTGTAAAAGTTTCACCTTCTTATGTGTGCAAGCGGTATAGTCCTGATTTGCTCCATGCGTGTGACACCTTCCCCACAACTCACCAGCATTCGCATCATTGTGAAGCTTACTTCTTTACAGCTCAGTTACTCAAAAGGAAGGGAAAATGGAATCAGGATGTATGTCCCATACCCATGCCAAATTTGGAACCGTACTGCTTCCAGTACTGTTTCTTCCGTAACGCGTTGGTTGAACGTTCCGGCACACCCACGTAATACCTTCCCCCAGTGACATGACTGCTCACTTAATGGGAACAGCCTCCAGAGGGATAGTCCAAAAGTGCAATTGTTAACAATATCTCCATTGTAAAATAGCAGTCACCATCCATTTGTCCTGTGGCAGAGACACTCCAGACTTTTGCAAGGATGTGGCCTTGAGGATGCTGCCAAATGTTTTGATGGCAGCCCTCTCTCGTCGTTTCAGAGAAGCAGGAGCTGTTCTCGCGGCACGCGGCCCGTCAGCGAGTGCCCGAAGCACCGGGAGATTTTCAGGCACTTGTCTGAACCCGTGACGGTCTCATTCTCACTGCTTCCAGCCTGGCTGCTGGGATACTTGTTGCAGTTCTTACAAATGCAAATGAAATTACAACTTTCCTTCTGAAGCAGATCTGAGAACTCCACTGCTCAGGATCTGTGCACAGCAATGCCCCTTGCATTATAAGGAGGACAGTGTTTAAAAACAACAGTGAGAACCTACTGCTGGAATTAAAACAAAACAAAACAAAACAAAACAAAACAAACAAACAAAGAAAAAAACAAAACAAAACAAAACAAACAAACAAAAACACAAAAAAAACCAAAAACAAAACAAAACAAACAAAACCAAACAACAAACCAGTGCAGAAAAGGAGCATCTGTGACACCGATAGCCAAACAGTACTAGGAATCTAATTCCAAGCTGCTGTCATTTTCTAAATTCAGTGCCAACAATTTGACTGTAAGCTATAAAAGTCCTACCTAAGTCAGTGCACGTGATGGGCAGCAAAACGGCATACATGACTGCCT